CCTCCTCCCCTTATTCAGCACAGAGAGCATGTTTTGAATGTTACCAATACTGTAGGTTGTAAAATTGCATTGTGTAATCATTTTATCATAAGTATTAATTAAGATTGTTGAAATTTTCTCGATTTGAGTCATTATCTATGTTATTTAAGTTTTACCAGTCAATGATCATATTATCACATGTACTAGTCAGTATTCATGTTATCTATAGCATATTTTCCAGTTATATGTTATCAAATTTTAATAGTCAGTATATATTCATGTTCTAATTTCAACTTCATCATGTTTATTTAATATATACTGAACAATTTGTGATCAATATTATGTATCAAGAATCAGACGCCATACACCAAGAGTTTGTTTTTATGTTCTAAGATATTGTGATTAGGGATATTTCCCTATTAATAGTTAAGCTGTGGGCTTTTAAATTTATTGTAAACAATATTTGGAACTAGGGGCAAATCAGAGGTGAGACAACACTGCCAGCTGGTCAGAGCCTTGGAAAACCTACCTCTCCCTTCCTATATAGGGAAGTTAGGGTTGGGTAGCCTGCTCTCCAGCATATTCTGATCTATCTTTGGTGATTTTTGAAGTCTGCTTCTTTAATTAGACGGTTTTAGTTATATTTTGCGGCGGTTTTAATTGGCCGCACCTTTACAAAAAGGTAATTCATTTCGAATATAAAAGTCAAAAGAAAACAAAAATTAGCAAAGAGAAATCATTTCAAAAAATAATCAAAAGAAGAAATACAAATCAAATAATTTAATAAATTCGGCGGCCCAGTTTTTTGGGTGAGCCATTTACGCCAATCCCAGGTCTTTGTGTTATGATTTTGTAAACAGAGCGTTGCTGCATGTTTCGTAGTTAAAAGGAGTTAACATCTCATAGCTGCTTTGGAGGAACTTGGGAAAACATGAAGAACAAAAAAACAAGATTTGTATCCCTAGCATTTTGAACGATTCTCAAAACTTCCTCTATTGAATTAATTAGTGTGTGTATTTTCAGTACGCGTTTGTATACGACCTCATGATCATTCTTGTTTAAATGAAAAGTATGAGTAGTTTAAAAAATAAGTTGTCATAGCTTATATAAAACTCAATAAATGAAACAAGGTGTTAAAGGAATGATACTGAAGTATCATTATTAGAACACATGATGTAACCCACAACATTTTTATAACGATATCTAAAAGAAGAAAAGCAATATGTTGTTAGTACATATGTTCATGTAAGTTGTTTATTTTATATGCTAGTTACATGTTAACATTTGAATGATTTTTTAATACCGTCAAAATGTTCTACTAAATGCCTCTGTCGTAATAAGATACTTTATTATTTTTCTTAGTACTGTGCATATTAACAAAAACATATGGTTTATTTCAAATATCATATTATATCAAAACATTCCTCTTACCTTTAAGCCAGCACAGACAGAGCAAAAACGCAGAAACAACCGTCGCCATCAATGCATTTAATATTTCTCCAGTGAGAGTATTGAACTCATTTTATGTTCGATTTAAAGTTTAGTGTCGATATGTGTACGTCAGATATTTATTTGGATGATTTTGTATATTTTAACACATCACTGAATATCGAATCATTTCGCATGATCACACTTGTATGCCGGGAATCGACCGATGATCAGTTATGCAATACTGGTATTCATAAGTGATTTAGTTTTTAAAAAATCCCATCAGTTTTTTATCACTTCTTTAAAAAATAATTACAACTATCTTTTCATCTTAAATGCATAAACAATATCGGTATTTGCACCATGGTTTATCAAGGAAACAAATTTGGTAAACAAATCTTGTGTCAGTATTCTTGGGATATCACACTTACAAAGATATACTGACTTCGATGTTTGGATAGGAGTTCATACATGCTATTTGTAGCTTATTAAAACTTTAGCAAAACAATCATTAAATGGCATCTCATGTATCACTAATTCAAAATTTTAAGAAAATAAATTGGTATTTTATACATCGAAACCTATTCAAACAATGAAATATCATTAAACTCCTCTATGGTAATAAGTTTGGGTTACAGGGCTCGCTGATTCTGCCGACATTGTAAACACGTCTTTGCCACTGACAAACGTACGCAGGTATAAACAAGTACAAAATACTTTAGGTGCTTCCAAGAAGGCGCACGTTCATCACAGTCATAAAGCGGAAAATGGCTAACACGTCTTTTTAATTGTCATCAAAAGGCCGAATTACATCCACCAGACCTTATACGCTCACATTCCGGATTGGTTCTCGGGTTCCATTTAAACAGATTCATCAGCTTAAGTATTTAAATCTAAAGTTTTACGTCATAGGAAGTCAGTCAGATATTCAGAAAATGAACGGTCAATAAGTAATGGTGGATGCTTGGAATCCGACTACGAGTTTGAGGGGCGGTCAGTTTATCACAAATCACGAGCGAAGATCCTGACTGCAAGGATCAAAAGCTAACAATGTTATACATATCCGAATTTTACAACCAATATCTTGTTCAGCTTTGATATATTAACAAGTAAAGATCCTTATGTTTCTAAAACATTTTTTCTGAATGTTCAATAAAAATGTCAATTTACAGTCTGCAGTTCATCGATTTTTGATACATTTCGCTTAAATTTTAACTTAGAATTTAAACGTTTGTGTTAATATCGGACTCACAAGATTTGCGTGTATATGCTATCAAGTGCGTTATACTTTGAAAGCTTGGACTTATGACATTTCAATTCAAACACTTAGTCCCATATTGACGCAAAACTGTCAATAAATAATTAAGAATTCATGTATCATACATACATAAAATACACATGAATAAATAAATACACCTAAATAAATATATTGATATACCCGAATTAAAAATCGATTTTAAAACAGAATTTTTACAATTGATTGTATAATAACTCAAACAGAGTAAATGAAAACAAATTAGAGTAAATAAACATTACAACAAATCGTATTCAGACCGATCTGACATATTTGTTTTAACTGGATACAAAATGAAAGTTCCTTTTGTTTTCTTAATACGCTTACCCTGCAACAATACATGATTGTATTTACTGGATAGTAACATTCCTTATGTTGTCCTGAAACGCTTTCCTTTCTGGAATACTGCGCTAAATACATGATTGTGTAACGAACGTAATGAACGTCTCAACTTATGATACGATTTCTGATAGATCGATATCATGTCGTCATACAGTGAGATATTGACTGTAGATATATTTCATGACGTCATATAGTGAGGTATTGATTGTAGATATATATCATGTCGTCATACAGTGAGATATTTACTGTAGGTATATTTCATGTCGTCATACAGTGAGATATTGACCATAGATATATTTCATGTCGTCATACAGTGAGATTGTGACTGTAGATATATTTCATGTCGTCATACAGTGAGGTATTAACTGTAGATATATTTCATGTCGTCATAGAGTGAGATATTGACTGTAGATATATATCATGTCGTCATACGGTGAGGTATTGACTGTAGATATATTTCATGTCGTCATACAGTGAGGTATTGACAGTAGGTATATATCATGTCGTCATACAGTGAGATATTGACTGTAGATATTTATCATGTCGTCATACAGTGAGGTATTGACTGTAGATATATTTCATGTCGTCATACAGCGAGATATTGACTGTAGGTATATTTTATGTCGTCATACCCTGAGATATTGACTGTAGATATATTTCATGTCGTCAAACAGTGAGATATTGACTGTAGATATATTTCATGTCATCATACAGTAAGGTATTAACTGTAGATATATTTCATGTCGTCATAGAGTGAGATATTGACTGTAGATATATATCATGTCGTCATACGGTGAGGTATTGACTGTAGATATATTTCATGTCGTCATACAGTGAGATAGAGACTGTAGATATATTTCATGTCGTCATACAGTGAGGTATTAACTGTCGATATATATCATGTCGTCATACAGTGAGATATTGACTGTAGAGATATATCATGTCGTCATACAGTGAGATATTGACTGTAGATATATTTCATGTCGTCATACAGTGAGATATTGACTGTAGGTATATTTTATGTCGTCATACACTGAGATATTGACTGTAGATATATTTCATGTCGTCATACAGTGAGATATTGACTGTAGGTATATTTTATGTCGTCATACCCTGAGATATTGACTGTAGATATATTTCATGTCGTCATACAGTGAGATATTGACTGTAGATATATTTCATGTCATCATACAGTAAGGTATTAACTGTAGATATATTTCATGTCGTCATACAGTGAGATATTGACTGTAGGTATATTTCATGTCGTCATACATTGAGATATTGACTGTAGATATCATTTCTCTCGTTTTGATTTCTCATAGAATTCTTTAGCACTCTGCTGTTAAACACAGATTATCAATATCATCTCATAAAAACCCTGCCGTCAGTTGTTTATTTCATGTTAAATTTCTTTTATGTTTACTTGCATTATAAAATATAGTTTTCTCTCAGCCCAGCGTATAGACATGATGCGTTAATATCTTCAAATTTAACAGAATGGTAGTAACATAAATAAAAATTAATACAAACTTAATATTTCTGGTCTATTGATTTAGAATGACAAAGTAAAATCACTTCACAAGAAAATGAGTGTGTAATGTGTAATTTATAATTTAGAATGGAGAAGTATTGATGCAAATACATGCAGAATTTGGCTAGAGAGAAAGCATAAGCATAAAAACATAAAGAAAACGTGGAACTCCGACTCTAAACAAATTCTATATCAAGTTTTTTTCTGACAATTACAGTAATAAACATATTTGGTAAGACATGGTCCTTTCCATCACTTAAGTGGATTTAAATGTACCTGGTGTTTCGGAAGATGCTTTTAATTTAAGAGATTCCATCGTTCAAATATAACTGTTGGCGACGTTTGACCATTGAGAACGATACTAAAAATTAAAAATATACAAATATACAAAAAATAAAATAAAACACATGAAGATGGATTATCGAGGCCTTTTGTTGCTACACAGCTCTCCGGGAGAACGATTTTATTTTGAAGGAACAGTTAATCTACGTAAATATATAGCAGATATATACTTAATACATAACCCTCTGTACATACATGTATCGTAGGGACATCGGGGAGAACAAAAAAGGGAGTTTACGGTAGTTTTTTGATACTCGAGAATTGGTTTTGTTGTGGTGTTTTTTTGTAACTTTTGTATCATTTTCCTGTCAACGGGACTACCATCAATTTTGGTATATATCTAGATATTATTAAGAGGATTAAATGTTGATGTGAAGTAAGTAAATATAGAAAAAAATCAGATTTAACGACCGACTAAAAAACTAGCTGCTTTCACCCTTCACATGGCTCTTCATGTTTAATTCAAAGGAACTTCGTGACGTCTTAATTACATGTCATCACACTACAATATTAGCGTGACGTCACAAGGTACACAAGATTGGTGGACAAACTAGCGTAAAATTTGACTCTGGCCTGTTGAGACTTGGTTTTAATATTTTGATTAATTGGTCTTCTTTCTTTTCTCTTATAATAATTATAAGTAATTTCTTATGAAAATAGTTGATACAAAGGTAATACATTAAATGTATCTCCAGCACATTAATGAATATGTTTGTTATATAATAAAAGAAGTATTAAATGTCCATGCATAATAAAAAAAAAAGAAGGTTTAACAAACATATTGATGAATGTGCCCCTTTATCAAGACAGGAACAGGAACATTTACATATCACAACATAAAACAGAGGTAAACAGTCACCATGGAACAATAATACAATACAAAATACATTAACATACAGAAGTTACTTATATAAAATATGCTGTTGTAAATGCATATCCCCTCGGTTAGCTTGAAACCGAAGGCTTACTACATATGTATAGGTCTCAAAAGTAATAACGACAGTAGTTATCTTTGTTATATGTTGTGATACGTAAGTGTTCAGGTTTCTGTCTTGAAAAAGGGTCGGATTGCCATGTTAATTTGACTAATTTCTTTGTCAGTACTGTAGTTATTACCTCTTTGCCCATATATACAAATGTAGATTCATATTTTATATGAGAGGAATTGACTATGTTCGTCATAATACGATTGGTGTATGACGTTGATGTGGGAGAAAAGAGCACAATTCATTTTTAACTCACCTGGCACGAAGTGCCAAGTGAGCTTATGCCGTGGCGCGGCGTCCGTCGTCCGTCCGTCGTCCGTCCGTCCGTCCGTCCTCGTCCGTCAACTTTTCCTTTAAACAACTTCTTCTGAAGAACGGACAGGCCTAGAGTCATGATATTTGGCTGAAAGCTTCGTTGGTAGGAGCCCTACAAAGTTTGAGAACGAAAATGACCTTGACCTGTTTTCAAGGTCACAGGGGTCAAATATGTCAAAAACTTCAAACGACTTCTTCT